TTTTGGATTGTGACTTTGGAAGCCAGAGATTTTAGATGTTTGGCACAAGTGAGGTTGCCAGTGCATTTTGTTTTTATAAACAGAAGTTTGTTTTGTGTGGGCAGAGATGGCAGAAGCATCAGTGACATATTGCTGTTTTTTTATACCTAAACTAACTGAGGATAATTTTAATATTTGGCTTTAACAAATGAAACTTCAAATGAATGAAGAAGGAGTACATGCTTGTTGCTGTTGTGTTGCTGCTGCTAAACTGATTTAACCACAAATTACCAAAACAAAAATGTAAACACATGCAAAACTTGGACTGGTTTTGACTAGCTTTCCAAAATATTATTCTCCAATAATTAATGCTTTGCAAGTTAAAGGAGATGTTTCATTACAAGATGCTATTACTCAAGTTGTTTAATTTCAGAATAGGCAGAACTTGATGGAAGACAACTATAATGCAAAAACAACAGACAGAGAATTAGCTCAATTTGCTGCTGAGGATTTGCAAAAGGCCTCTTTTTCTCTCAAATAGAAACTATGGGCCACTGCAGACTGCCAGAAATAGTGCAAATTGAGTCCACTTTAACTGCCCTGACTCAATGCTAGGGAATCATGGGAACTGTAGTTTATTGTAGCACCAGAGCTCTCTGACAGAGAAGGTTCAATGTCTCAGAAAAATGCAATTCCCATGATTCCCTAGCACTGAGCCGGGGCAGTTAAAGTGGACTCAATTTGCACTATTTCTAGCAGTCTGCAAAGGCCCTATGTTAACCAGTCAAAACCAAGAGCTGAACTGCAAAAGCTGCAAAGCCAGGGACTGAACAGGGTTTTAACTCTAAGCAGAAATCTTCCAGTCATGTTGATATTGGAAAATATTAAGAGATTGATCAATCAAGAGCTTGCAAGTGACTTTAAATTCAAAGCATGCTCCAACAATGAAAAATGTGTAGAATGCTTGAAAGCAAAGGTCACAAGAGCTCCACACTCTCCAGTTACTGTGAGACAATCCAACAAGGCATTGGATCTTTTACATGCTGATCTTTTTGGACGAATGAATCAAAAGTCATCAGGTGGCAACTCTTACTTTATGACTATTATTGATTATTTCTGCAGGTACACATACACATACCTTCTCAGAGAGAAGAGTTAAGTTTTTCAAAAATTCAAAGAGTACTTTAATTGAGTCTCTAACAAAT